TAGATTTTATTGCTTTAAAGGAAAAAATTCAGATCAGACATGCTCGAAATGGTTTTGGCGAGCAAAAGATTGCAAACATTTCTGTGGACGGCTTCTGTGAAACCAATAATACTGTCTATCAGTTTTACGGTAAATATCTTTTAAAATGCTTTTCATTTTTTCAGTTATTTTCTAATTTTTAAGATACCTCGATTTAGACTGTAAAAAACTGATGATTTTATTTTAAGGATGTTATTGGCATGGATGTAAAAGCTGTTATCCTCAGCAAGATGCCAGAAATGCTGTAAAGGGGTGTTTCATGTGGGAACTTTCTGTCAGCACAAAGAGAACATCGAAAATCATTCAACGCATGGGATATAACTTGGTAACCATTTGGGAGCATGAATTTAATACCATGAAGAAAAATGATGAGGAGCTGAGGAATTTTTTGAAAGATCATAGTTTAGTAGAGAGGTTAAATCCAAGAGACTCATTTTTCGGAGGGAGAACGAATGCTGTAAAGCTAATGCACGAAGGAAAAATTAAGTACATAGACTTCACAAGTTTATATCCGTGGGTTAACAAGTGTTGCAGGTATCTGTTTTCTTCCTTTAATTGTTAGAGCGATTAAAACATAGTAATTAAAACATTGATTTATTATAAAAGATGTGATTATGAATGCATGTATATATATGTACATAGTGTATTTATTAATCCTCAGGTATCCTGCCTTTAATCAGAATTTCAAAACTGTGTCCTTGTACGTGTGTTATAACACATTTACGTTTTTTTAAAATTTAATTTACCTCTTTTATAGTGCCCGAAATAAACTGATGTTACCGCTTTGTGTTTCCGCTTTGTAAGTCTTGTGCAGAATCTTTGCAGCAAGAAAAGTGCATGCATACAGATGAAGAAAGAATGCTGACAGGAACATGGGTTTCCCTTGAAGTTCAGAAAGCCGTTGAAAAGGGATATAAAATTATTAAAATACATGAGGTGTGTATGCGGGGGTTTTGTTTTGCTGACTTGATGAGAGAATGATTTTTAACTGGGTTGTTTACAATTTTTTTTTTTTTTTTTTTTTTTTAACAGGTTTATCATTTTAAAGAGAGCATGACTGGATTATTTGCTCCGTATATTGACAGTTTTATGAAATTAAAACAAGAGTCAAGTGGTTGGCCAAAAGACTGTATAACTTCTGATGCTAAAAAGAGATATATTTCTCAATACTTGGAACATGAAGGTATTTTGCTGGATGAAAATTCTATTAGCTATAATCCAGGGCGACGACAAGTAGCAAAACTTTGTTTAAACAGGTAAAGCAAAAAAAGTACAAAGAATTTTTGTTGTTGTTGTTCCTGTTGCTACATAAACTAGATGTTTATAAAATGTTTTTTAAATTTTTAACAATTTATTTTAAGCTTCTGGGGAAGATGGGGTATGATGGAAAATAAAACTCAAATACGTTACGTGACAGATCTGGCAGATTTTAACAAACTCTTAACGGATAGTACTATAGAGGTAAATTTTATTGAATTATATTATACTTTTAGTTTTTGAAAATGCATGATATTAAAAGGATAAAATATGCTATTCAATCTATGTTTTAGGTTAAGGATGTATATTTACCGACGGAAAAAAGTGGCAGCAGTTCAGTATGCTTACAAATCTGAATTTGCTCCTCAGACGGATAAAACAAATATATTTATAGCTACATTGACTACAGCCCATGCACGTTTGAAGTTTTACTCAGAATTAGAAAAATTAGACAAAAATGTCTTGTACTTCGATACAGACAGGTATAATATTAGGGTTAAAATCCCTATTTCCTGTATTATTATTGTTATGCAAATATTTGTTTATATAGGATAAATATTTGTTTATATAGGATAAAAACGCTTATACTTTTTTTTTATATTCTTTTCAGTATTATTTATGAATCCAATGGCAAGAATGACCCACCTTTAGGTCCTTATTTGGGAGATTTTACTGATGAATTAGACGGCAAATATATAACGTCTTTCATTTCTGGTTAGTATAAGTTCACTCTGGTTAAATCTAAATTATCAATGTATACATTCGAGAAAATTGTAATGCATGCAACATTATTTTATTCACGGCTCTTACGGTTTTTCAGGTGGTGCAAAAAATTATGCTTATACATCTTCAGATGGTTTAACAGCTTGTAAAATTAGAGGATTTACTTTTTAAACTACAAAGCTTCAAGCAAATTGAATTACGAAGCGATGAAGGCTTTAATTTTGAACAAAGACTTCGATACATCCATCAAAGTTGAAACGACAAATAAAATATGCCGAAATGCTAAGACGAGGAAGGTCTATAACAAGAAAGAAGAAAAAAATTATCGTTTAGTATACGATAAAAGGGTGATATTACCAGATTTTACGACGCTACCGTTCGGCTACTGATGATTCTATCCAGTGAAGCATTCAAAAGTTAAATTTTATCGATGATGATATTTTACATTTACTTTGGGTAATGTAGTATTCTGAGATAAAATATAAATATATATAAAGTATTTTACAGGTAAGGAAAATTCGACAACTTATAGTTAAATGAACATTTTTATTTAGTACTTTATCCATGGCTGTTTTCTTGCGTACATGCTTTGTTTGATTCTAGAAACAATTAAGGATTTCTTTTTCTCTTAACAATTTTTCGTTATGCCCGAATGCATCAGGCATTTCCTTCAAAACAGATCGAAATAAATTTCGTCCTATAGGCCCTTTTTTCCTATTCCGCAATAAATCGTTAATTAAATGAACAATATTGGATCTAGGAATTGTTTCCCCTTTATACAGAATTTCACCTTTAGAAGTCCACGACAAAATATTTTGTTTATTTTTTAAAAAGGAGTAAATGTCCTTGGCTATATGCTTCTTTTTCACTGGAACAACAGCTAGGATATTCTTTTCGATGACGTCTTCTTCTTTTTCTTTCTCTGCTTCGGTTTCAGGCTTAACAGAATTATCTGCTTCAATCATGTTTTCTGACTCCTGGCATTGCCTTCACAGAAACATCTTTCTCCGGGTGAGGAACATGAACAAATTTTTGAAGTGCTTGTGAATATAACATTGCTTTATCACTTTCGTTCAAATTCTTATTTCTTAATATAGAGTACATTTGTTTATCTATTTCTGATAAATACTCTTCTGTCATGTTTTCTAACCGATCTTCCGGTATAAGGCGATATTTTTTACTGTACTCCATTAATAATAGAACTGATCACAGATATAGCTGCAGGTAAGAGAAAACTCAGAAAACCATCATCACCTCGTTGAACGAGCAATTCTCGTTTTTTGTACAAAGGTATTTTACGGTTCGCTAACTTACGTATACTTCTCTTAAAAGGAGTGAGTTTATTTTTCAGAGTTTTAGATACTGGTATATTACCCCGAATTAAATTGAGTGCACACTCACACAAAGATTTGATGATACTATTTGGAACTTTTTGAAGTAGAAATCTTTTTGATTTACTCTTTGCTAATGTTTTCAGTTGCTTTATTAAATGCTGCTCGCATTCTGACATTTTTAGTATTCAATGAAGCTACGAAATGAATTCTGTAGTATTTATAGGATTCCAAATCCAATATTTTATCCTTTACTTCTTTTCATATAAACGTGGAATAATAAGCGGATTTTTCATTTTATAATAAAGTAAGAAAAAAGATAATGCATTCTAAAATTTGAGTTTTGTATCAGATTTCCGCTAAGCGTTTTCTTATCGCGGTAAATACACGTAATGTTTGTCTTCCGGAAATATTCCTGTTCGTAAACGTAAACTCTCTTCTGTGTCAGGTTTCAAATCAATCAACAGATAGCTGTAAGGTTTAAAAGTTGCATCCTGAAACACTTCTTGAAAAAATTTATTTCTTGTTGGGTAAAGTTGTCTACCCAAGTGCATGATCTGAGACTTATCTCGCGGATTTTTAAATAAGACCATATAATGGCAATTAAGAGAAATTTCTCTCATTTCTTTACCTTTGTGAAATAAGTTTTGAACGATGAAAATGATGCTTAAATTTTTATGGTGGCTTCCTTTGGTAAATAGTTTTTGTTAATTTTGATTCATTGCCCAGTTCGGACATTAAATCATCGATCACGATTAAAGCATTTGTAATGTTATTCAATGAGAAGGAAATCCTTCGTGAAACTGTACGTCGCGCATTTGGGTATACAATGGCTGATATGCTCCGTAGCACACACACTGTTTAGTAGGAACAGGATCTATGCTTTTATGTTCAATCATTTTTTTAACAAATATTGTTTTTCCTGAAGATGTAGGACCTGCCACTATCATTGTAAAAGGATGTTTTAACTTAGGAAACTCCATCGTAAGTGAACTTTTCTGTATTTAAGTTAAATATTTATAGTTTCTTTTTCTTCCGTACCCCCTCCCTCCCTCAAAAATTACATAGTTTAAAAAAATGACCTAGATTAAAAAAAGAAGCATAATAAATTATTATTATTTGTTAATAACAAAATGAGTGGAAAAAAATGCACACACAGTATTTCCAAATCAAAATCTAACCTTTATTTTTTAAATGTCATTCTAAGACCATATTTCTTTTTAACAAATTGGTATATTCTAAAATCATTGCTTTTACACAAAGAAAGATTTATATAAAATATCATACATAGATTTGCCCTGGCATCTTTTTAATAAAAAATAAATGCAGTATTGTCCACATACATTAGATGTTAAACTTTGAAATCGAATTTTATTATAATGAGTTACACGAAAATGTGACACAAAATTCTCGATGTTTTTTCCATAAAACTCCGGAGGCTCTCCGTAAGAATCGAAAAATTCCAAGGCTTTATCTTCTATAAACAGGGCAAGCCAATGCGTTCCATTTTCTGTAGAGGGTGATACATTTATTACCATAGCAGATCGTTTTCCAGGCATAGGTATCATGTCAGAAGGAAATACTCCTTGGAAGTACGGAGCAGTGTCCATGTCTTGAGACAATATGTGATGAAGCTGAAGGGCGTACATCTTAATTTGCAAAGTCGTAAATAACAGTTCTGGATTTATTAATCTCGATTATATTTTCAAACTCGCTGTACACTATAACAGATATTGTTTGTGATAGTGGTGCTCTAAATTTCATTTCTAGACGTAAATTGCTGTGTTTTATTAGATTCATGTGCTCTCCATCACATAAGTCAGGCGACAAATCAAAGGCATATAATGTATAACCTAAGGGATAATCGTCTCTCGATATAAAAATACCATGATCTTGACTCACTTTCTCTCTTCCGAGAAATAAGCTTTGGTAAGCTCGAATATAATTATTTTCATCAAAATTCGGCTCGAGAGGATTGTAAGGCACAGGCTGACCGTCCATATAGGCTCCGATAAAATTTAAGTGATAATGATTAAATTCGAAAGGTGATTTCTTATAAGTTCCGTGAAAAGCATCATTATCTACGCATCCAACAATCACCCGTTTTGGCATCTGCCCGACGAAGACGTTATCTTGTACGATAGACATGCTGCCTTGCGGTACAGAATATACTTTGCACAACACTCTGTTAATGGGGTATTTTGCTGTCGCTTTTTCTAAAGCTTTGGCATGTCCGAGAGTAATACCTGGACTGACGCGAACTTTTCGAACGAAAAGGGAAACATGATCCAATACCACTTTGTGTCCTTCGTTACCATGTAAACAAAATTCGGGTTTACTCCGTATAAGTTTTAGTTTCAAATCTACAAGGTTCAACATTAGTCTATCTTGATGATGAAACAAATCGCAGTGAATGCCCCCTATCATATCTATTGTATTACTTAATTTAAAAAATTCGGAACGCTTAATCCAACCTTCGTTATCTGTAAATATTTTACTAAATGTATCTTTGTAGAACATTTCGCATGTAAGTTGCGAAGTTTTACTGTCAAACCCATGATTTAATAGAGTTTCTATATAAGCTCTATATGGATACGTATTGCTCGAAGAAGAGATTAATCGATCGTTTAGAGTGACGTCCACTTGAGAAAACAGCGAGTGAAGGAAAAGATTGACGGGACCAATCTTTGAATCTGCTACTGTAGGTTTTCCATCCGTTTTTATTATTTTAGCTTTTACATAAAGAAGTGTTTGGGACAAGTCCATATACTCCTCCTCTCCACTACCGGAAACAAGGAATTCAACAGGTCCTCCATCAAATACATTCGAAAGTGGATGAAACTGAATCCATTGCCCATTTTGAATGACAGTCTGAGTTCCAGGTATGTGAAAAAGTTCTAATTCTGATTTAGTACATTCGGGAGAATCTTTTAACATAAAAGCCATTTCCGTTTTTATTTATTTTTTTTTAAATATGTTGTTTAGGTTAGTCAAAAATATCTCGTCGACGTAGCTTTTTGGCTTTCGAAGAACTAATACGTTGTCGAGTTTTACGCTTTCTTTTATACTTCCCTCTACCTAACATCGATTCTGCTTTCTTAACAGCTTTTCCAGCCAATAATTTTCCAGCTTCTCTTGATCTTTGTTGCTCGGCCATCTTTAAATTTTTCCCCTCCATGACATCAGAAGCTATACGTGTCCCTGTCAGCAAGGCTTCTTTTCCTACGGTTTTTGCCCCTTTCCAGAGAACAGGTAATGCCAATTCGAAATATTTTCTTAAAAAATCCACCGATACCATAGCCTCTTTGATAAGCTATCTGTCCGCGATAAAATGGAAGGCCAGATCCTAACTGGCCGACATAATGATCTTCAAACTTTTTTGTACAACACACATAAGGAACACGGCTCATACTGTATGTAACGTGTCAAATTTTCAAATGATGTGTTTTCATGAAATGTATTATCCCCTTTTATAGGATATGCCGCAATCGAAAATGCAGAATAATGATCACTTTTCCTCTTTCGAATGGAACAAATTCCCCAGAGTTTTAATCTTATTTCCATTTCAATCGTTTGAAAATGATTTCGAATAACAGGAACATAGTGTGGTCTGTCATAATGAGTACTGATGACTTCTCCATCTTTTCCATTTATTTTTACAATACGCAATAAGGGAGCTTGAATGTTTCCCACTATTTGTGGTTCTACGATATCTGTATAGATATAAAAAAATGGGAAGGAAGCACGTGGATCAGCGACGAAGGAACTTTCAGCTATATCTTCTATTACTTGCGGTTCAAATCCTAACAGATTGCAAAGACCTTTCTCAAAAATTAGTTTTGCTCCTTTCTCGGTTTTAATATTCACACGCTTTGTCACAGGACTGTATTTAAATGTAATTTTGTTTCTTAAAGGTGGAATATTCATTTCGTTCAAAATATCTTGTACACTTTCATAATATCCAGGTGGTAACCTTCTTCCCTGGAGTTCTCCATCTTTTAAAGCAAACCCGAACAGATTATTTTCTTTATTTATATTATACCATTCGTGCGGATAAATTATTTCGGTTAATCCAACTTCCCATAGACCGTTTAATGTAATTGGTATAGGTAGCTGTGTCACAAAATGCGAAAGTGTATTTTCTGAGAAATGTTCTTGACTACTATCAGAGGGCAGCGTCACGTAGAACGACATCTCTAACTGATGAAATTCAGAACAGAATGTTCTCTTTTTATAACATTTTTACATCGGATACCCAAGCATTAAATTTATCCGGGTATCCCTGAAATTTGACAAAATACTGCATTTTTCCAGCCACTTTTTTTTGTTTTAATATTTTTTCTACCGGATAAAATCCCGAATCAGATACTTTTTGTAGTTCATTTTCATAAAAACTACCTTCAATCACTTCTCCAGCTAAATCTCTTAATTTATAAACTACAGGTTTTCGGGGGTTTTCGGGGGATCATTCGATGAATTGTAAATATTTCTCGAGTCCAATTATTTTCGTAACCCTTCTCAAAAGGTCTTTTCAGCTTACTAATACGCACCGTATCGCCTGTTTTAAACTGGGGCTTCGTAACAGATTTTATCATATCACCATATAAATTCTTCCATACCACAGACTGATTATTTATATTCACTGATGAAGGTTCCATTTGAATACTGCGATGCCAAGTGTGATTGTAACTATAGATTAATTTATTCAACACATCTATATAGCAATGTGTGTTAAACTCTGTAAAATATTTCCACATTTTTGTCTTTAGAGTCCTATTAAATCTTTCAATAATGCTCGCTTTTGTTTCGTTATTTGTTGTAAAATAATGAATGCCCTTTTCTTTAAATAAATTTTGCACTAATTTATTTTTAAATTCCGAGCCTTTATCTGTTTGTAATGAATCTGGTTTACGCTCTTTAAAAATGTTTTCAAATGCCCTTTTCACACTAGAGCCCTTCTTGTCTTTCAAAGGTATAGCCCAAGCATATTTCGAAAAAATATCTATGCATGTTAACAAATATTTATACCCTCTATTAAATCTGGCTAAATTTTGTAAATCTACTAAATCAGATTGAAATTGTTCGTCGATCCCCCCTACAATGACTCGGTTGCGTTGGAACTTGTGTCGCAGAGGCTTGTGAAGCGTATAAGAATCCCTCTTCTCTAACCATCTTTTGATCTCTTTGCTCTTTGCTCTTTACTCCAGAAACACGACGTAAAGCATTGATACCACCGAAGCTTGCCGGTTGCGCTGGATTCCGATAAGTCAGATCCAGAATTTCTGACATTACAACATGAATTTTTATCAACGGAAAATGTGATGTTCATCCTCATACAACCGCTATCCAAATAAATGATAAATCAAATTTAAATTTATTTATACTTTTTATAAGCCCCTTACCTAATCCTCATAACAACCTGTTCAAACATTAGTTTTATAGTTTCATCTAAGTTAGAAAATTATTATTATCATTTCATTTCTTAAAATATAAAAGAATAAGAGACTAAATATTTCAATTGTAAACTCTTTTATATGCACAAAAAAGTATTTACAAACATTCACAAAATAACTTGATAGGCGATTATTCACACGCATATATACATATACATTTACAATAAATTTTAAAAAATGAACCAACTAACCTGAAACATAAATCTTTAGCATTATTTAACAACATTTCATAATCAATATTTTTTAGAAATGACACTGTAATATAATTTGCAATATTCGAATTTTTACTCACAAATTCAGTAGCAATGTTCACAATATTTATTTTACACACAGCAAGATCTCCATATTTCCAAAGTTTATCCGAATTGGTCATTGTGACACACTCATGGACCAAGCTGATTGCCGTATTCCATAATGCACCCACTACACTCGAAAATGTCCGCTATGTTTGAACTTATAGTCTCTTTTAAGAGTTCGATAAGAGATGTCGAAAGACACATTTCTGCATCAACAGGAGCGATTTGGTTGTCCTGATGCGATGGCATTTGCTTGAAAACTTCGTTCAAAAACGTAGAACTGGAAAGTAGGCCCAAACATTAATGTAACCACCTCCGTTGTTATTTGTTTTCTTATTCGTATGAGTTGCTCCCATTCACATTTTGTAAGAACACATACACTTGGCAAAAATTCACGAGTCAAATCTTTGCGCACAAATATCTCTGAAACGAAAAACACACGGGGAATTTTCAACTGTCACTGTTGAAAGGAACAAAGAGTCTTGTATAACTGACTGCACACTGACCTTCTCGCAAAGAGGGACTTAGTATATCCTTATATTCCACTTTGTCCGAAAAGGCTTGCCACAGGTAAGGAGAGAGAGTGATTCCGCTTTTCGTCGGTATAAACTCGTTGTTTTCGAAGCGCACATATTTTCTTAAGTGTACACGTATTACACGAGCGAAATCTGTTATCACAACAAAATTTTCACCACCAAGATAAAAATGATGAGCAGGTAAAGAATCCAACTTAAACGTCGTTATACTTGCATCGTTAGTCATATTACTTTGACTCGAAAATCTAACTCTCTTGTTCGAAGTTGTAGGTTTCTCTGTTGCAACAGCACGCTTCATTTTCAAAAAATCGCAAGACAATATTTCTTATAAACTACTTTCTTCGCAACAAACAAGAGGCAACTGAATTCTTTCCCAAGAAAAATGGCTCTGTTGCTTTCGATGTGACGTCAAAACAAAATGGCTGGCTTAGAACCAATAGAAAAAGCTTGTTATCTTATAACACACCTCCTTCGTGACGTATTCCATTATACGTCAGACAACATGAACAACCAGGAGTCGAATAAAGAGGAAGGTTCACTCAACGTAAAGCTGGCCCATTTACTGTTATCATTACTTGCAAGAGTTTAATTTAACTTTTTCCCCTTTTTTTTGAGATTCAGCTTATTGCTGGATCACAAAGATTTCAAAATATCCTGGATTACTTTTATCGAAGTATTGATTTTCTTTGTTTGTGTTGTGTGTAATTTCATAAATATGTTAAATATATCACAATGTCATGTTTTTTCTTTCCAGATGTGAAAAAAAGACTTAATATAATCGAAACATGGTAAATACATTTTAATGTTTTTGCTTACAGGCTGGTATCTTCGTTCCTTAACATACAATGATATGTGCTAGTAATTAAACTGTATGATTTGAACGCTTAGGTAAATAGTTTCATAATTTTTCATGAAAAGTAAGAAATCAATTGTTACTATTTTTTTAATTGGTAAAAGTTTTAATAAGCAACGCTTTCTTTATGCATTAATTATTATTCATTTTTAGTTTTGTGAAACTGTTACGAATATATTTGTCCATTTGATCGAGATAACTGTTCAGTTGTTTAAATGTTTTGCATAAGCTTACAAATTTCTGGGCAGTATTGCGATAAATGTAGTAAAATATTTACACAATTGACATGTGGAAAGATATATCCAAAAATTTATATATGTATACTTCTGTAATTCAGCTTAATTCAAGGCAATTTCTTAGAGATTCATAAATATGAAATGCGCATAAACTGAAATCATTGAATTCCACATAAATATGTTTTATTTTATTAATATTTATATTTGCTTGTTGATATAAGGTTGTTGGTTGCGAAAAGAATCTATTTAAAACTTTTATTTAAAAAAAAATGCAAGATATTACCATTTTTTTAGATAATTATCTGCTGTTAATTTCAGGTTAAAATTGATTTCAAATGATTCTTTAATAAATTATGATAATAGTGCAAATAAATCAGAAATATCACTTCTTGCAGAAACAATTGGAATGTATACCCAACAGGATGTTTCTAAAACCCAAACAAATTCTTGAAATATGCAGAAAAATCAATTTTAAAGGCTTTAATGTTACGCACATGCATTTAGATTTCAACTTATTTCTTAATAATTTTCTGTACGTAGTAAATTACGGATATCATCTTTGTAACTTTAAA